TCAACACCAATGCGTCGTTTGGCGACCTTTTGTATTATCTATACAAAGATAAACATCACAGAATATAAATATATATAGAATAACATTCCTCATCGAGGTGTTAATTTTGTATAAAATTATAGAGGTATAAAAATTAAGTAGGTCTGATTGGATACTTTTAAGTTATACAAAATCATTCAAAATTATTACTTATTGATTTTTCCAACAGTAATTGAGAAAAATCCATTATTTCCCTTCCTATTATAGATATTTATGATTAATTACAAGTCATAAAGTAAAGTTTATATTAATGCTCGTCTTATAATATATTACCAAAAAAATCATTTATGTTAAAAACAAAAATCACTACTAACTGCATGACAAGTGACATTCTAACGTCTAATTATTAATTACTATAAATCAAAACGTTACATAATGTAAGTGATGTTTCATTCACAACAGAACAAATGTATCCTAGTTGAATACTTCTGTTTAAGTATGACCGCATGCGAACACGTTTTTTATAAACCAAACGACACTATACAATTTTACACTCTGTAAGTTTGTTTGGTTTAAGACTTATTTAATTTCGGTTTCTGTATAGTTGTGTATTGTGAGACAACGCTAAAGAAGCGTGTCGCGTTGAATCTTGAACGGCTTGGTGCGAGAACGCAACTTATTGTCAAACTAGACTGGAGAAATTGAGGTACTGTATTATTCTATGCTTAACTGAAAATAAAGAAAGATTAATCAGAGTTCTTTTTTTTGTTTCCTTAGAAAATATTTACGTGTAACCTTCACATTGTGGGTTGAAAAAATATCCAGATTTGTTAGATGATATATACTGTGTAGATACCACGACGCGCTGTGATTATCTTTACAAATATTGAGAAAATATAGGGAAATGGTATAGCTGATTTTTTTTATATAATGGATAAACGGAATAACCCCATCATGCGTTTAAGTAACGCCTATAACAAAAGTATAAAGAGTGATACATACTCACAGAATGCCCCACACTTCGATTACTTGATTCATGCTTAGGTTGTAGATTTCCGCAGGCTTCTTATGGCGGCAGCATATGGTTTTTTTTATAGGATAAGGGTGACAAACGAGCACACAGTCCACCTGATGGTAAATGGTTGCTGTGGCCCATAGACATCTACATCTATCTTCGATTAAGAATCAAAATGCAGATGCGTTGTCACCCGTGAGGACTAAGATGGAATGCCTCGTTTCCAGTAAAAAAGGTCTTTGGTTCTCTACACTCACCATACGAAACACAGCAGCGTTAAGCTGCTATTTTACGCTGGTATTCTGTGAGAGCGTAGTCCTTCCCCGGTCGAGCCGACCCATTCGTGCTACAACCATAATATAGCTGCAGCATGGCTCTTACCACGTAAAAAAATTTATCCGGCTCCACTTGCTATTTTGCTAAGTTCTACAACATACCGTTTAAAGTATTTTATTTTATAGGATAAGGGTGACAAACGAGCACACTGTCCACCTGATGGTAAGTGGTTGCTGTGGCCCATAGACATCTACATCTATCCTCGTTTGTGAATCAAAATGCAGATCCGTGAGGACTAAGATATTCCATCTTATTGGCTCATTTCCAGTAAAAAGGGCCTCCGGCCACCTGCACTCACCAAGCGAAACGCAGAGGTAAACCTCTACTTCACGCTGGTATTCTGTGAGGTCGTGGTAACACCCCGGTTCGAGCCGGCCCATCCGTGCGACAGCAAAAGCTGCCGCGTGGCTCTACCACTGTTAAAAACTATATGATGGACTATATGATAGATATGCAACAAGACAGACAAACATATTCAACACGGATAGATAAAATTACATATATTTATTAAAAAATAAAGCCTTATGTAAAAAATATAAAAAAATGTGTGTAAAAAAACAAAAAACACTATAGCTTTACGATATATATTATGATGGTATTATCTCTTACGCCTGACGTAAAATACCCAGGCCGGCGACGGGGAGGAGCGCAATAGTTGCGTACATATGTTGTCAATGCAAAGTATCTGAATTAAGTAAACCCAAATAATACGAGTTACAATTTAACTTTTCAATTGGTATTTTAGAGAACAGACATGTTTAATAGTGTAGTTGAAGTTTAAATGAAACACTTCGTAATAATATAAAGTTTATTTGACACAAACACACGGGCCGCACGTGATGATTACATTAGGTGCTTACTACTGGCGTGTGAGACAGTGCCATCCACATCGGTATACTTTTTCAATTTACGGAAAATACACTTACCTCTAACAATTTATTGTTAATATGATTTTTAATCTGTAAAATATAGCCTCGTCAAACGAAACATCAAAAAATGAACTACTTACTGTATTAAAATAAATTCTGTAATACATTTGAACATAAATATTTTAACAACAAAAATACCAACATAACACTGTATATGTCAAATTATTTAAAAAAGTTTAATTAACTCACTTAAGTATTTAATACTGACAAGAGATTTCGAGAAAAGTGCCACATTCATGATATCTGTGGAATGGTCTAAACATAGATATTTTTTTTATTTATTGTAAATATATCAAAATTTTAACATTACAAAGACGATATTGACACATTCATGAATACATGTGGCTTCAGTTTCAGTACATCATAGATATTGTATAAGTTTCCCAAAAAATCGATCAATTATTCTGAAAACGTTAGGACACTTGACTGGAACTACATAATCGAAAATGCCACAATTTATAAATGTTTTACATATAAGATGAGTTTGTATAAAAGGAATTATCGGCATGGAATAATTTCTGGTTTGTTTTCCTATGGTAGATAAATTATACATATTTTGTGAGATGATTTGCTACAAAATCAGATCAGTTTTATTTTATTTAGAAAGCATGAGTGAAATAGTTGACTCCTGTATTTATTTTTATATAAATATTGGGTATTATATTCAACGATACTTAAATATTATTGGACGCCTACTAACCGTATATAATCTACAACTTAGCCGGTCAACTAATTTTTATAAATATCCATAGAAAATTAATTAAAAATATTTCTTTTGAAACGAATACTGAAAGTAACTAAATATTAACACAGCCCAAATTGCCTTACTATTGTTTCTTTTATTCCATATAATATAAATAAAAGTGATATAAATATCAAAATATTTCTTATTGTGTCATGTGTCATAACACTAAACTATTGAAAAAATAGTTAGAAATTTAACAATGCTTGAGGTCCCCAACACTGACCATTAAATCACTAAAAGTAAATATATTTACTGGCGGAACGAAAATGCTTTGCATTCAAAATATTTGAGAGTAACAAGACATTTTACACCTCAAACAAATAAACAATACAAATACAATTTTAAAAAAAACTTTCATCGTAACCTCAAAACATCTTGAAAATAATGCCTGCTTCACGCTAAGACTGAAATATGCATAAAGGCGCGAACTTTGTTGGATCGCTTAATGTGGAACATTTGTTTCTCAATTTTTGTCAGTTTTTTGGTGCGCGTCAAAATAAGCGTTTCCAACTTAGGTGTTTTCCCGCTAAATTTAGGGGGTAAAGAAGTGGGATGGGATTGTTTTAGGGGCTTTATATTTTTAGGAACTTCTATATTTTTTTCCACTTTAGCTGATTTTTGTTTAGGATGATTGCGGTGCAGCTGGCTGTAAAACTTTTGAAAATGTCTCAAAATTCGAGTTGTATGTTTTGCATTATCACGCTTGCAATTTCTTGTTGTCTATTGAAATGTGCTACCAAGTGTCATGATGATCTGATTCACATTGCAACGAAATAGCGCGATTCATTTAAAATTCATTTATAACATTTAATCCATTAACTAAAATGTATGTTTATTTAACAAATGTATGATTTTAATATGTAGGAACCATCAGAAGAAAACGATATAATATTTCATATATTAAATAATTTAGGTATACTGTACTTATTTTAGGGGATTTCAAAGTAAATAAGGTGATTAAATTCCAAGTAAATAAGGGGTTTTTGACTTAGCCTTTAGGGGTTAATATTTTTTGGATTTGTTAACACTGCCCAAGGACGAACTACGAACTTGCAAAGCACCACACTAGGCACTGTTCAGTTAAGTATCGGCAACATTAGATAATAGTAATTTTTGGATTAAAAAAATATGAGCGAGAATAGATATTTTACAATCTAAATCAACATTATATTCAGAGTGGTTATATAAAATTTAATTTATAATGCTCTATTAGAAATTTATTGTTAAAAAAATAGATTTCAATAAATACCTACCTGATTAATTTACTCGCTGTAAGTAATAAGTTTACTCGCTGCGAATTCGCGCGCATTCCGCAGACTAAGTGAAGAGCAGGCATTAGAGTTGGGACTACACATTTACTAGGTAATTATAATCACATATAATTTTCAGATAAATATGAAATACTTTATCTTTAAATATTTTATCTATACGACCAGATTACTGTTTGAGATATAAAGTAAGTAAAGTAAAATCTAAGCCAAAGATATCATTTTTAAATTAAGTACAGTCGGCGTTGGCCGAAAAATTTATGAGAGTTACTACTATAATACTATTATATATTACCTAAAACAAAAATACAAAAAAAAAATAATCAAAAATAAAGATAATATTTCTTATAAAAATGAATGTAGTTTAAGATTTCTCTAAAAACAGTTATTTTTGCGCTAGTCAAAAAATGCTACTTAAAACCTAACACAAGCCCAGAAGTTTGTATACAAAATATTGAGTAATACTGAATGGATATTAATAATATGGTATCTTTGATTTACTTCTTAATCTAATAAATAAGTTTTCGAATTTTATCCAAAATATATAGCAATATACCGCCTTATTAAATTTTTATATCCTCTATATTATTCATTTTGGCTTGAAGTACGTTTACTTGAAGTGTTTGAAACGTAAATGACAGATATACAATTATATTGAAAGCGTATTTGGAATGTTTCCCAAATCAAGTGTCGAATTTTTTGATGAGTAAGCGACAGAACAACGATGCTTACTGAGCGCCGTTCTGCGCGTGACGTTGGCGCTTGGCGGGCGGCGCGTCGCCAGCGAACATGGCGCCCGACTGCAGGTCCGAGCGCAGGAAAGGCACCTGGACCAATGAACATTTTATCCATATATACACAATAGTCAAAGAGTTATCACCATCACTATTAGCCCTTCAAAGTCCTCTGTTAGACATGGCCTCACCCGTTGCAGTGAAGATTTTCCTTATTATTAAAATAAAGTAAATGCGAGTATTGTAGGTGCAAAAGCTTTGTATATCATAAATGAAAAATAAACTATTTATCATAAATCTAATGTACGAACGCCTATAAAGTGTTTCTTCTTAACTAATTAAAGGTGAGGAAAAAATATGTCAATATGATAACGATGTAAGAGTTTACAATTCAAGAAAGAAACGATGTAAGGGTTTACAATTCAAGGCTTCCTTGCATGCATTAGAGAAATGTGGCATAAAAACTATTAGTGTGTTGCATCAAAATTATTATGCATTAGTTTATATAGGAAAATATAATCCAATACTGATCCAACTTTAAAGAAGTTCAACTGGAACTTTTCTAATAAGTGGCTATAAGGTTAAGTCTGATCCACGAAGCCGTACTATCCAGCGAGCCCCTGGTGTAGAATCCCGGCTACTAAGTTGCATCTGTGCCCAGTGATACTCGTATCACCATACCCATTCATAGAAAGCCGAACAACAAGAACAGAAATGAACTAATGCCTTTATATTAAAGCAAGCTGTATTTAATTTTGAACTCTCAGTTTCAACACGTGTTAGTTATGCTTGCTTTTAACTCCAGAATAATATATAAATCTATAGCGACAATCTATTCTCTGTGTGACTGATTAACCTATGACTATGTCAAACAAATAATAGTCTGTGTCTATTATTTGTTTGACATAGACAGTAATTTTTTATAGAAGAGGGGGCAAACGAGGATGCGGCCTACCTGATGGTAAGTGACTACCGCCATCCATGAACAACTGGTTACAAGTCCTTTGATGGTGTGAACGTAAACAATGAATTGAAATTATTTTATTTCATTTAATGTATTCGTAACATATCATCACTATTACAGCCCTTCACAAGTCCACTGCTGAACATAGGCCTCCCCCAAGAAATACCACAAAGCACGGTCCTAAGCCACCTGCATCCATTGACTTATTGTATATCTTACTAAGTCGTCACTCCATCTAGGCTCTACACATCGTCCACCGGTACGAGGCCGCCACTCGAGAACCTACATTCGCATCGGTTGTCGGTTCTTCGAGCTATATGGTCAACCCAATTTCAATAATTTCAATTCGTAACACATTATTAAATAAAAATGTGTGAATTCTGCACTCCTTCTCCTAAATAAACTTATAAGCCAAATATTACACACCTTCGTACGAGTAATAATACGTCCTATATCAATCATGTGTTATTAAATAGATTACTGTTTGTAGCAATAAATGAATGGGTGAATGATAGAGTGAACGAATGAGTGAGTGAACGAATGATGCGGTACGGTACGGTGCGGTACCTTGTGCTCGAGCTGCATGTGCGTGGCGGGGCGCAGCGCCAGGCAGGCGCGCAGCAGGTTGTCGAGCGCGGCGCGCTGCTTGAACAGTGCGGAGTGAGGAGTGAGTGAACGAATGATGCGGTACGGTACGGTGCGGTACCTTGTGCTCGAGCTGCATGTGCGTGGCGGGGCGCAGCGCCAGGCAGGCGCGCAGCAGGTTGTCGAGCGCGGCGCGCTGCTTGAACAGTGCGGAGTGAGGAGTGAGTGAACGAATGATGCGGTACGGTACGGTGCGGTACCTTGTGCTCGAGCTGCATGTGCGTGGCGGGGCGCAGCGCCAGGCAGGCGCGCAGCAGGTTGTCGAGCGCGGCGCGCTGCTTGAACAGTGCGGAGTGAGGAGTGAGTGAACGAATGATGCGGTACGGTACGGTGCGGTACCTTGTGCTCGAGCTGCATGTGCGTGGCGGGGCGCAGCGCCAGGCAGGCGCGCAGCAGGTTGTCGAGCGCGGCGCGCTGCTTGAACAGTGCGGAGTGAGGAGTGAGTGAACGAATGATGCGGTACGGTACGGTGCGGTACCTTGTGCTCGAGCTGCATGTGCGTGGCGGGGCGCAGCGCCAGGCAGGCGCGCAGCAGGTTGTCGAGCGCGGCGCGCTGCTTGAACAGTGCGGAGTGAGGAGTGAGTGAACGAATGATGCGGTACGGTACGGTGCGGTACCTTGTGCTCGAGCTGCATGTGCGTGGCGGGGCGCAGCGCCAGGCAGGCGCGCAGCAGGTTGTCGAGCGCGGCGCGCTGCTTGAACAGTGCGGAGTGAGGAGTGAGTGAACGAATGATGCGGTACGGTACGGTGCGGTACCTTGTGCTCGAGCTGCATGTGCGTGGCGGGGCGCAGCGCCAGGCAGGCGCGCAGCAGGTTGTCGAGCGCGGCGCGCTGCTTGAACAGTGCGGAGTGAGGAGTGAGTGAACGAATGATGCGGTACGGTACGGTGCGGTACCTTGTGCTCGAGCTGCATGTGCGTGGCGGGGCGCAGCGCCAGGCAGGCGCGCAGCAGGTTGTCGAGCGCGGCGCGCTGCTTGAACAGTGCGGAGTGAGGAGTGAGTGAACGAATGATGCGGTACGGTACGGTGCGGTACCTTGTGCTCGAGCTGCATGTGCGTGGCGGGGCGCAGCGCCAGGCAGGCGCGCAGCAGGTTGTCGAGCGCGGCGCGCTGCTTGAACAGTGCGGAGTGAGGAGTGAGTGAACGAATGATGCGGTACGGTACGGTGCGGTACCTTGTGCTCGAGCTGCATGTGCGTGGCGGGGCGCAGCGCCAGGCAGGCGCGCAGCAGGTTGTCGAGCGCGGCGCGCTGCTTGAACAGTGCGGAGTGAGGAGTGAGTGAACGAATGATGCGGTACGGTACGGTGCGGTACCTTGTGCTCGAGCTGCATGTGCGTGGCGGGGCGCAGCGCCAGGCAGGCGCGCAGCAGGTTGTTGAGCGCGGCGCGCTGCTTGAACAGTGCGGAGTGAGGAGTGAGTGAACGAATGATGCGGTACGGTACGGTGCGGTACCTTGTGCTCGAGCTGCATGTGCGTGGCGGGGCGCAGCGCCAGGCAGGCGCGCAGCAGGTTGTCGAGCGCGGCGCGCTGCTTGAACAGTGCGGAGTGAGGAGTGAGTGAACGAATGATGCGGTACGGTACGGTGCGGTACCTTGTGCTCGAGCTGCATGTGCGTGGCGGGGCGCAGCGCCAGGCAGGCGCGCAGCAGGTTGTCGAGCGCGGCGCGCTGCTTGAACAGTGCGGAGTGAGGAGTGAGTGAACGAATGATGCGGTACGGTACGGTGCGGTACCTTGTGCTCGAGCTGCATGTGCGTGGCGGGGCGCAGCGCCAGGCAGGCGCGCAGCAGGTTGTCGAGCGCGGCGCGCTGCTTGAACAGTGCGGAGTGAGGAGTGAGTGAACGAATGATGCGGTACGGTACGGTGCGGTACCTTGTGCTCGAGCTGCATGTGCGTGGCGGGGCGCAGCGCCAGGCAGGCGCGCAGCAGGTTGTCGAGCGCGGCGCGCTGCTTGAACAGTGCGGAGTGAGGAGTGAGTGAACGAATGATGCGGTACGGTACGGTGCGGTACCTTGTGCTCGAGCTGCATGTGCGTGGCGGGGCGCAGCGCCAGGCAGGCGCGCAGCAGGTTGTCGAGCGCGGCGCGCTGCTTGAACAGTGCGGAGTGAGGAGTGAGTGAACGAATGATGCGGTACGGTACGGTGCGGTACCTTGTGCTCGAGCTGCATGTGCGTGGCGGGGCGCAGCGCCAGGCAGGCGCGCAGCAGGTTGTCGAGCGCGGCGCGCTGCTTGAACAGTGCGGAGTGAGGAGTGAGTGAACGAATGATGCGGTACGGTACGGTGCGGTACCTTGTGCTCGAGCTGCATGTGCGTGGCGGGGCGCAGCGCCAGGCAGGCGCGCAGCAGGTTGTCGAGCGCGGCGCGCTGCTTGAACAGTGCGGAGTGAGGAGTGAGTGAACGAATGATGCGGTACGGTACGGTGCGGTACCTTGTGCTCGAGCTGCATGTGCGTGGCGGGGCGCAGCGCCAGGCAGGCGCGCAGCAGGTTGTCGAGCGCGGCGCGCTGCTTGAACAGTGCGGAGTGAGGAGTGAGTGAACGAATGATGCGGTACGGTACGGTGCGGTACCTTGTGCTCGAGCTGCATGTGCGTGGCGGGGCGCAGCGCCAGGCAGGCGCGCAGCAGGTTGTCGAGCGCGGCGCGCTGCTTGAACAGTGCGGAGTGAGGAGTGAGTGAACGAATGATGCGGTACGGTACGGTGCGGTACCTTGTGCTCGAGCTGCATGTGCGTGGCGGGGCGCAGCGCCAGGCAGGCGCGCAGCAGGTTGTCGAGCGCGGCGCGCTGCTTGAACAGTGCGGAGTGAGGAGTGAGTGAACGAATGATGCGGTACGGTACGGTGCGGTACCTTGTGCTCGAGCTGCATGTGCGTGGCGGGGCGCAGCGCCAGGCAGGCGCGCAGCAGGTTGTCGAGCGCGGCGCGCTGCTTGAACAGTGCGGAGTGAGGAGTGAGTGAACGAATGATGCGGTACGGTACGGTGCGGTACCTTGTGCTCGAGCTGCATGTGCGTGGCGGGGCGCAGCGCCAGGCAGGCGCGCAGCAGGTTGTCGAGCGCGGCGCGCTGCTTGAACAGTGCGGAGTGAGGAGTGAGTGAACGAATGATGCGGTACGGTACGGTGCGGTACCTTGTGCTCGAGCTGCATGTGCGTGGCGGGGCGCAGCGCCAGGCAGGCGCGCAGCAGGTTGTCGAGCGCGGCGCGCTGCTTGAACAGTGCGGAGTGAGGAGTGAGTGAACGAATGATGCGGTACGGTACGGTGCGGTACCTTGTGCTCGAGCTGCATGTGCGTGGCGGGGCGCAGCGCCAGGCAGGCGCGCAGCAGGTTGTCGAGCGCGGCGCGCTGCTTGAACAGTGCGTTCACGACGGGCGCTCCACGCGCTGCCAGCGGCGCCTTCACCAGGTACGACAGCGCAGACAGGACCGCGTGTAGTCCGCTCCACTCTGAATACGATAAGGATATTATCAGATAATATACTATACTGAATACCTCGACGCGCTGTGTTTTTTTTAAAGGATGAAGGTAACAACGACCTTTTAAAAGATGGAAGGACGATATAGATATATCGCCAATAGCGGGAAACCTGTAGATACATACTATTAAAGATAGAGACAAATGGTACAAAATGGAGGCGGCCTTTTACCAACAATGGATACTCCCTGAATAATGAATTTACACTCACACACTCACTAACGCACGCATGCAATCATTCATTCACACACGCACTCACTTATACACACAAGCACTCACTCACTTACTGACCCTTGCACTTAAGTACTCAGGCATGCACATAAGCACGCACGAACTCATATATCTGACGCCAAATAGTAATTCTTCCATTGCTGTGTTTGGTCTGTAGGACATAGAGAGCCAATGTAATAACAAACTGCGAGACATTCCAATTTGTCCTCAACAAATGACAATGCATCTGCAACTTCTTTGTTTGGTGTCCTTTCCAAGTGTTCATAGGCTGTCGTATCCACCATTAGGTTGATAGTAAATTCCTATGTCACTTCACGTGGTGTCAAAATCACACTGTGGAATTTACAGTTACTAACGATTTTTCAGACCGATACGACTTAGAATCCTAAACAAAAGAGCCTTATTTATATACTACTACTATATATAAGGCCACCAACGCGCTGCAATCCCTCTGGTGTAGCAGATGTATACGGGCGACGGTGACCAGACCTAGAACAGCAGGCGAGCCGTACGCTCGCTTGCCTCGTGCACAAGACGATTAGTACCGTGCGTGTGGTCGCGGCGCACGTGCACGCGGCCCAGCAGCTCGGCCAGCACCACCAAGTCCAGCATGAGCGGCGCGGCCAGCAGCGAGTCCTCGCAGGTGTTGTGCACCGCCAATGTGTTGGTGCCGTGCAGCAAGATCTCCGACGTGTACTCGTCCATCGCGCGTTTTGAATCGCCTGCAACCCATTAAGTTCCTTATTTTATTTTATTTCAATCATATCATTCATCATCATAACAGTCTTTCAAAGTCCACCAATGAACAACGGTATCTATCATAGACTGCATCAGAGAATATTTGCCATAATTTCCACGCTTGGCAAGTGCAGTTTTTTATTATTTTAAGTTGTTATCAGTAAAACGCTGTTATCCTTCTTAAAATTTAGTTTTCCTTTATCGCCTCATACTATATCTTAAAATAAATTCCGGGCAAGTACCAGGCACTCATAACAAGTGAGAAGTTGATGGTGCATCCGAAACTAAGAGGAACGAAACAACGCAATCTGCAACAGCTACTATTTTGTCTACACTACTACGGCCCGTACTATCGTCGAGTGTAGAGATTACCATAATTCATAAACGATAGCCATTGCGATTAAAATCTTGAAGCTTGGTTTGAAACCGTTATTATGTGCCGAGGTTGGTGCGTAAAGCTGTATGACCTTCAACGAATACCGTTTGGTGATGAGTATAATATACGCAACCCTCGTCGACACTCACAATCTTTACTACGTTGTTAATGAGAGACTTGTGGACGATAAATCCGACATCTCCTTGGGACAGATGGTCGCCCTCCCGATGATAGTACAAGTTGCCGGATTCGAGGATTACCGTATCCTCCGCCTCTCTTCAGACCTCAGATAATCCTTAATCCAATCTACGTCCGAATGGTTAGAGGCACACTGACCCTAAACGTTAAGTTAGAGAGGTGTCGTCTAATGAAGTCAACGATCCGTTGCCCTCGTACTCTAATCCAAAGTCCGTCCCGACACCTTTCAGCTCAAGTTACAAAAGCGTTTTCAGTGCCTAGAAGATTGCAATGCAGTAGATGATATGAATGACAAGCTCGTGGAAACTGTCCATGCGGTCGAAACTAAGTTTTGCAAGACCCGCCGCAGAAGAACACAAAAACTCTCCGATCACACTCTTTATCTCATGGCTGTTAAATGGAAAATGAAGCTGCGGTCTTCAGTATATTTGACAGCATACAGGCACTTGAACAGACAGATCTCCAAATGCGTGCGGCGGGACTTACGCAACCTTAACACTGCTCGTATTGAAGAACCAGGGCTCTAGTCTTTGCTAGAGATCTGTCTGCCAGAAAGAGCCAAATATCGAAGCTGAAGACCGAGTGTGGCAGCGTCGCTTCCGGGACACCTGAGATTTGGAGTGAGATTTAGAGGTTCTATGGGCAGCTGTACACATAATCGGTGGAGTCACACGCAAGTGTGAGTAACAATCCAAGAGCAAGTCTTATCCGACACTATTCCGACGATATCCCGAACGTCAGTTTGAGCGAAATTAAAATGGCTCTCCAGCACCTTAAAAACGGCAAGGCCCCGGGCGAGCGGAGCTTTTAAAAGCGGGTGGAAAACCGGTACTTGAAGTCCTTCAGAAGCTCTTTAATTCCGTCCTCCATGGTGGCACTACTCCAGAGACGTGGAGCAGAAGTGCGGTGGGCTTGTTCTTCAAGAAAGGCAATGCTCTCTTGAAGAACTACAGACCAATTTCCCTTCTCTACGTGCAGTTTTCGAGATTCATTACATATCGTATCGCACCCAGACTTGACGACTTCCATCCTCCCGAACAAGCCGGTTTTCGAAAAGACTTTAGCACCATAGACCACATACATACCCTTCGGCAAATTGTACTGAACACCGAAGAGTGCAATTTGCCACTATACCTTGCATATGTGGACTATGAGAAAGCCTTTGATTCCGTCGAAATTTGGGACGACGACTCTGACGGCCATCACCCTCTGCGGTTTGCGCAGAATGGCGAGAGTGCTGGCCATCATGTCCATCGCCCACACAGGGGCCCCATACAGGGCCATGGACCGCACGATTCCCATGTACAACCGCCTACAGGCGGCGCTCGGGTCCCCCGAGTTGGGAAGCAACGTTGAAAGCGCGCCCGCTGCACCCATCAGCTTGGGCGCCAGCCGCCGGAAGTGGGGTCCGAATTCCCATCGGCTGTCGACCAATCCCAGATACTTCATGGTGGATTCGACAGCCATCCGGGCCCCGCTGACCACGATGCGTGATCCCGGAGGCGGCGCGCGTCGAGGGCCATGGAACACCATGGCCTCCGACTTGTTTAGGGCCACCTCCAGGCCCAGGCGCCGGATGCGGTTCACCACTTGTGACACCGCAGCCTTGGCAACCAACGCTGCTTGCCTGTGCGAGCTCCCCTGGGCAATGACAAGCGTGTCGTCCGCATAACACGTCAAGTCGGCGTCCGGCGAGAGTTCACCTCTCAGCACCCAGTCGTAGCCAATGTTCCACAGGAGCGGTCCCAAGACCGATCCCTGCGGAACACCGCACGACATGACGCGCCGACCAGCGCCGTCACGTCCCCAATAGGTAACGTATCTCTCCTTAAGGTAAGCCCCTATTGTGCGGCGGAGGTAGGGAGGCACGCGATGGTAATTCAGCGCCTCCCGAATACAACTCCAGGGTAGGGTGTTTGAAGGCGTTGGAGATGTCTAAAGACACCGCCAGCACCACCCCACCCCGGGATACTGTCTCCTCCGCCAGGGCCCTCACGCACGTAATAGCGTCTATGGTGGAGCGCCCGCGACGAAAACCAAATTGGTTCTCGTCCAGGTCCGGCCCCTCTCTGCACAAGTGGCTGACGAGGCGATCTGCGATGATACGCTCAAAAAGTTTGCCCGCCTCGTCAAGCAGCACTATGGGCCGGTAGGCGGACGGTGAGTTCGCGGGGCGCCCCTCCTTCCTGATCAGGACCACCCTCCCCTCCTTCCACACACTGGGAAGCTGACCCTGTTCGGGACATGCCGTGAAGAGCCCCCTCAGCTGGGGCTCTAGCTACTTCAGAGCCAGGACGAGAGCTCGACCAGGAACTCCGTCGGGTCCGGGCGCTGTGTTCTTAGCCCGGAGTCACGACACAGCCGCTCTCGTCTCTGCTTGCGTTACCTCGGGGACATCGGTGCTCTCCTCTTCTGGAGAGTCTGTGGCTGAGTGCGAAGCCATCGCCGGGGGAACGTGTCCCACTCGTTCAGGGAAGAAAGCCGATACCACCGCCTCTAGCAACTGGGGTTGCATGCTTTTTGTTAGTGGAGGCGCCCAGGGACGCAACTTGTCCCGTACCCAACGGTAGGGGCGCCCCCACGGATCCCGATCTAGGGACCCCAGCAACTCCTTCCTGGCAGGCGACTTTGAGTCGCCGATGGCCAGCCACAGAGTCTCCTTAGACGCGCGGTACACCTCATACAGCGCGTCCTCCTCGGCGGAATCCCGTCGACGCCGCCTCCGGTATCGGGTGTACCGGCGACGAGCCGCAACGCACGCTATGCGCAATTGTGCGATTTCGGCGGTCCACCAGTATACCTGGTGCTTTGCGGACCGTTGGCGGACACGGGGCATGGACGCGTCGCAGATCTGCGTTATCGCCCCGCGAAACCATAGCGCCACCGCTTCGACGTCGACTGGGCCGTCCGTCGTCGACTCCCAGATCGCTTAAGCGCCCAACGCGGGCCATCATTAATCGGGTTGTTGGATGGCGGCCGCTCGCGGTCTGGGCAGAGACGTCGAACCGGATATAACGATGGTCCGACAGCGTCTCCACCCCTACGGCGACACGCCAGTCGCGGACTCGGCTGGCGACAGAGGGGCTAGCGAGTGAGATGTCCACTATTGACCCGCCCCGCTGCCGCACGCACGTGTATTCCGAACCCCGATTCAGGACGACCAGACCAGTCGTCACCGTCCACTCTTCTAGCACCTCGCCCCGAGGGTCAGTGACCGGAGATCCCCACGCCGATGACTTGGCGTTGAGATCCCCGAGCACCAGAACGGGACGTAGGGGTGATAGCGGCCTACGACGGCGCCCAACTCGACAAGAAATCCTCAAAGTCGGCGAGACTCTTGTTGGGGGAGAAATACGCCCCTACAATAACGATGCCGCCCGAGACCGCAGCAACCCAGCCGCGGCCCCAAGACGGGTCGATCAGAGTCTCGCCAATAATGGCCACCAAACCGTCAGCGCATCCCAACCAGTTGTCACGGGCGGGAATGAAGTACGGTTCGGCGACCACAGCCACGTGAATCGACCACTCTGCCATGCTCTGGAGTAGGAGACCCTGATATCTGGCACAGTGGTTGATGTTGCCCTGGAGAAAATGGAATTGTGCCGTTACTGACATTCCATTCCCTCGGCAACGGTCCTGGGCCGGGAGTCGGCCGCGGAGCTGCTAGCCTGCGGGGGCAGCGAGGTTAACCCGGCAGGCTTAGTGCTCCTCTTCTTTTCCTTTTTCTTGCTGGCAGGCACCCCACAGACCCCTCCGCCTACTCTGTGCTTTGCTGGCGTTCCCACAGCAGAACAAAGGCTGCAGTTGAGCGCCGCGGTGCACAGTAGCATTGTGGCCAGGCTGGCCGCAGCTATAACAGAGGTCACTACGGTCAACCTCGGCGGTGCACTTCGCCCGGACGTGCCCTTTTTCCAGGCACCGGAAGCACTGCAAAGCCCGGGGCTGTAAGAGCTTGGTCCTTACCGCCACCCAGCCTACCAGCAATCTGCCGCTATCGGCGATCTTCTTCGCCGACGCTACAGGGCACCGAACCCAGACTGCGCCGAGTCCAGTGGCGTCGGTGCGTATATCGCCAGCCCGCACCTTGTCCGGCGGACACTCTCCGCTTCTGGCAACGGCCGCCACCACCTCCACAGAGGTCACGGAGTCGTCCAGGCCAGCAATCCGCACCTCTGCGGTTTTCATTGGTCTGGAGACCCGGACGTCCTCAGGGTTGAGGACCTCCCTCATCTTGGCGGCCAGTGCGTCCGCCTTTTCGGCACTGCCGCTCACAGTAGCAGCCACCTCGAATAGTCGCGCACCCGTGGCAGTCTGCCTGAGGGTGACGGACTGAAGACCAAGATCAGATAATTTGATTTTGGCCTTAGCCTCGGCGATGACCGACTGCCACGCTCCACAGCTCCGGGCTGC